CTGCAGTACCTGCATACGTCAGAAGAGCGGATTTAAGCGGGTGCCCTCTCTGAACGATGCCTCAGCTGGCTCAAAAAGTGGGTTGCGGGAATTATATTGGTGACATAACACCCTAGACGTGCGGAAGCGCTCCTTAGCGGGTGATCTGATGCTGCACTCGCCTGTAAGTCTAGGCTCATCCTTGTGCCATGCTGCCGCCGGGTGTAGCAGATTACATTATTGCACCAGTACAGAGATCTTAGGTAGTCTTATTAGCGTCATGGTATGCGTCGTGAATGCCGAGCTCCATTGCTCTGTGGTGGCACCCGGGTGCGTAAAATAACCATGTCTGGCTGCGTGCAATTCAGCGAGCCCAAGTTCATCGTAGTCCTTCTTGAGCATGGTTGATGACGTATACTGTGGATCAGCCTACATGCTTGCACTCAACGCTCACGCCCTGCGCTGCGGTCGTGTCGTGTACGATTGACTGCACTTTGACCAATCACGCCCCTCTCTGCCCTCCCTTCGTCGGCCGGCTCCACCCGCACCTTTGACCTGCTCCACAAGTTCATTTAATATCCTATGGGCCATAGAAATATAGTCGGTAGGTCCTAAAGTTTATATCGGCGCTTAGCATGATGACAGTCCTCTTACTTGCGTTGCTCGAGCACGTGTGCAGGGCTTTGCGCAGGAAGGCAGGGACGTGTGATAGAGGCGCGAGCGCACAGCTTGCGGGCAAGCGCTTGCGCGGAGCCCCACTTCTGCAGCGGGACAGGGTTGATCGATGCTGTTGGGCGCCGGACGGGCGATAAAGGCCGCGCGCATTGCTGCGCGAGTGATAGCGATGCAGGCGTTGGGTGTAGGGGCCGGATCCAGACAAATGCGGTTGGCCCTGCAGCCTCCACGGCCACCGAGGTTGAGGCAAACTGATCATTCGATTCCAATCCACAATTCAGCTGGGTCATTCAGCAGCGCAAAATGCGAGGCACGGCCATCAACGTGATATATACACAACATGCCGGGCTCTCACAGGATGTATGGTGCAAAAGTGGGCCGACGAGCTGCGATGCGGCGGGCCAAAGCATTCAGGCGCCGCATCTCGGGCGCCTTTTTGGGCCGCAGCAGCCATGCAGCACGCCGCACATCAAAGCCTCAGACCGCGGCGCGGGCCTTTGGCTCCTGGTGCGGTATAAACCAACGTCGCGCGCATCAGGCGACACGCGCGGCCGCGCTCAGGGTCAGCCCCTCCTCCTTGCACCTCCAGGCCGGCGCGTCACGCGCACGCCCCTGCAGAAAATACATGGTGAGTGCAGGAGGTTGGGGGCCGATCCAGTGTCAGCAGAGCGTGCCGCAGCGCACTGTTTGGGCCTATTGCTGGCGCCAGGCAGCACTGACAGACAACCAGGATGACGTCATCACTACGCGCATGACAAGCGCGGCAGGCCAACGATCGCTTCGGCTGGACTCTCAACAAGTCAGAGCCGCCTAGAACACCCAAGGCATGAAGCCAGTGCCCGGCGCTCACTCTTGGGGCACGCGCCGGGCTTGCAGTCCTTCGCCTGGTAGCACGAGGTCGCCAGGCACGCGTTGGCGTAGGTCTTGCCGCCACAGCAGACCGGCGCGCGCGGCTGCGCGAGGCAGCCGGTGGCGCAGGCGCCGAGCCGGCAGGGCGCCTCTGCCACGACCGCGTCGGCCGGCTTGAGGCCGCCGCACTTGACGAAGCAGCAGTTTGCAAAGGTGCGCGGGCCGTACGACCTGCGTGGCGGGAGGTGCAAGGGGTTGCGAGCGTGTGACCAATCGGATCAAAGATGGAGTCGAGAGCGGGGCGCGGGCGGCGTTCGCTCCCGCCCCTCAAAAAGCTGTGTGCTGGGGGGAGCAGCGAACCCCTGGGCAACAATTGATGTGCAAGAGCCTCATACATGCGGTGCCGCTGCGCGGGGGCGCTGCCCGGCTGCAGGGGCAGGGGGCCTCCTGCTCTCAGCCCTGCCGGCGTCGCCCTCGCCTTACTTGGTGGCGGCGCAGATGGGCTTGAGCTCGCGAGAGCACGCCTTGCAAGCTGCAGGAAGCAACGGGGAGGTAGTGGGACGTTATACTGCAGGCGTGAGCAGCCAGCTGGCACAACCGCGAGCGGCCAGCCGGCTGGAAGTAAGCGGCCAGCTGTATACCCACCACCGAGCAGACCAGAAAAAATCGCTGTGCCTGTCAGCGACGAGCCGCACGCCTGCCCGAAAACGCAGCGCGGGCGCCCCGACTCCCCGCGGTCAACGCCGCCGGTCAAACGAAGCAGCAGGGGCCCTCACCGTCAATGCAGGCGCCGGGGTAGGCCTGGGTCGCGTTGGCGCACTTTGCCAGGCATGGGTTGGCGTACGTCTTGCCGTCCACCCCGCACTGAGGCTTGTACTCACGCGTGCACTTGCAAGGCGCGGCCGGCGCGGCCGCGACACCGCCGCCAGCGCTGCCTGCGCCGGCGGGCTGCGACTTGGTGCCGAGCGCCGCCTTGGTGGTGGTGCTCTCGGCGCCGCGGCAGGCGCCCTCGTACGAGACCGTGGCGCCCGCGCACTTGGCGGCGCACGCGTTGCCAAACGTCCCCTTGGTCGTGCTGCACACAGGGGCGTAGATCATAGGGCAGACGCACACGGCGCCGTTGCTGCCGCCGCCGCCGCCGCCGACTGGCTTGGTTTGTGCTGGGCACTCCCCCTCCGACACGACAGTCGTGCCCGCGCACTTTGCCAGGCACTCGTTTAAGTAAGTCTTGCCGTCCTTGCCGCACACGCGGCGCAGGTTCTTGGGGCACACGCACGGCTTGGGGGACGCGGCCGGCGGCTTGGACGCCGTCTGCTGGCCGGCAGGGCAGCTGCCTTCCGACGCGACCGCCGTGCCCGCGCACTTGGCCAGGCAGTCGTTCGAGTACGTCTTGCCATTCTTGCCGCACACTTGCTTGAAGATGAAGGGGCAGGCGCAGGGCTTCGGCGACGGCTTTGAAGGGGTCGATGAGGAGGACGCACAGGCGCCCTCTGACTTGACAGCCGTGCCGGCGCACTTGGCGAGGCACTCATTTGAGTATGTCTTGCCATCCTTGCCGCACACCTGCCGGAAGATCTTCGGGCACACGCACGGCTTCGGCGACGCCGCGGGCGATGCGGGGGACGCGGGCGCGACGGACGGGGTCTGTGCCGACGCGGGCTCTACGGGGGCGCACGCGCCCTGGGACGCAACCGTCGTGCCCGCGCATTTCGCGAGGCAGTCGTTGGCGTAGGGCCTGCCGTCTTTCCCGCACACTTGCTTGAAGATCTTCGGGCACACGCACGGCTTCGGCGACGCCGCCGGGGCCGCCGGCGCGGCGGAGGGGCTCTCCTGCGGATCCTCGCAGGGGCCGTCCTTGCCTGCGACTGCCACGCCGTTGCAGCCTGCCATGCATGCGTTGCTGTACGTGCGCCCGTCCTTGCCGCACACGGGCGCATAGAGCGCGGTGCAGACGCAGTTGGGGTCGGGCTTCCCTGGGGCTGGCGCCTGCTGGACCGGCAGGATGCCCGGCGGCGGGCAGGGGCCGGGGGTGGTGGCCGTCACGCCTTGGCACTTGGCCTCACACGCGTTGACAAACTGCTCAAGCTCGCCGCCGAGGGTGCCGCAGACGGGCGCGTAGTTGCGGGGGCAGGCGCAGGGCTTGGGGACTGCAAGGGTGGGGCAGGTGTGAGGAGGTGTGGCGTGGGGTTGGGGCCGGGTGGGTGGAAAGGAGGTGGACGCTTGTGCTCTGCAGCTACAAGCATCTGCAGGGCAAGGGGCTCGCGATGCCGGCAATTTGGTGTTTCTACAATCATCTGTATCACATCCATGTCGAAGCTGTGCCCTGGCAGAGCATTGGCCCATCCGGCGACTAGCAGCGGCCCTCCAGCCCCGCCACACACCCGCCCAGCCAACCGCCTCACCCGCCGCCGGCGGCTCCGAAGGCGTCGCCGCAGCAGTGTCCGGCGCATCGGCGGCGCCGCCGGGCGCCACAGATGCCACTTCGCCTGACGCCGGCTCCGGCTCCTCCTGCGCCTGGCCCTTGGCAGCTTCCTCGCAGGTTCCCTCCGAGATGACCTTCGCGCCCTCGCACTTTGCCAGGCACTCGTTCGCAAAGTCCCGCTTGGTCTTGCCGCCGTCGGAAGACGCGCAGACGGGGCGGTAAAGCCGGGGGCAGGGGCAGTTGGGCTTGGGGACGGGCGCGGCGCCGCAGGACCCCGAGGTGAACGACTGATGGCCGTCGCACTTTGCAGCGCAGGCGTTGCCGTAGTCGCGGCCGCTGTTGAAGCGGGGCGGCGCGGCGGGCGGGGGCGAGTTTGATTTCGGCGGGGGAAGGGCGGCTGGGCGGGCAAGCGGCTTCCGCAAACTAGCATCCACCCCCATGCCGCGCACATGCACGGCCGACAGCGGGATGGGAGGAGTTCGCAGTCAAGCAAAAGCTGGGGCTGCGAAAGCAGGAGCGTGGGGCTCACCCCGCGCATACAGGCCGATATTCCTTAGTACAGACGCAGCCGGGGCCTGAAGGGGGGGGGCGCGTGGCGCAGGGCGCGTGTGGATGCAATGAGCGTCGAAAAGTGCCGGGCGCAGCCAGGCCGGGCAGCAGCTTATTGAATGCGCCAGATGGGGCGCGAGCAACGCCCCTGCGCGGCTCGCGAGCAAGCGCTTTCTGAAGCCGCTCAGCAACCTGGCGGCGCGGCCCGCCTGCGCTGCCGCGCGTGGCTGCCCTTCACGCACTCTGCTTTAGGGTGCGGTGCACTGCGCCTCCGACGGCGCCATGGTGCGCACCCAAGGCCTCCGCTGCGGTGGGGGCCCGGTGGGGAGGGAGTAGGCTGGGTGCATGTGTGTGCATGGGGGGGGGGGCGGCAGGACGGGTGTATGTGCATCGTATTCTTAGGCATTATACACTGCATGTCACGGCTGGCCGAGGAGTACTTTTTGCACCGGCTCGCTCCGGAGCCGGCGCCGCTCGCTGCCGCGGCGCGAGCGGGCCGCACCGATGCAGGGGCCGGGGTGCACGAGCTTCGCCCCCGCGCAGCCGGCGAGGCATCGGTTATCAAATGTCCGCAGGGCCGACGGCTGCAGCGGCGCGGGGGCCTGTGCGGCGCCCTCCTGCCCGCCGCGCGCGATAGCCGCGCAGACGGGGTGGTAGGCCACGTCACAAGCGCAGCCGGAGGCTGCGGGGTTTGCATAGGGATTTGCAGGGAAACGCCCGGGTGAGGGGCGCATGCCAGCTTATGTGCGCTGCAAAACCGGCCAGGCGCAACCGCCCCCGGACGAGCTGTGATACCGATTGCAATGAGGATGGCTTCAGCGACTGCATCGCCAGAGCTCAGCTGCCGCGCGCGGTAGGATCGTTTGACCCGGTCAACCCCATTGGGAACAATGCAATGGTTCATGTCTCACGTGTGATGCCGACGCAGACGGACATGCAGTCTTCCTCGCTCTCAAAGTTGTTGGAGTTGCCGCCGCAGCCGTAGTAACTAAACTGCTGGCAGCTGCTAGAAGCGGCGTCCCAAGCCCACTTGGACTCCACCTCGTCGCCCTTGCATCTCAAGTCCCCGGCATCCGCCGGCGCCGCGCACAGCCTGTTCACATTTCGCGGCTCCAGGGCTGTCCCGTGATGCAGGCGCGCGCGGCGGCGTCGGATAAAGGTGAGTCTTGGCAGGAGCGCGGCGGCGCGGCGCAAAGCGGCAGCGTCATGCGCGGAGCTCGATGCGGCGGACAGATCTCCGTCAGTGTGAGGCGCGACGTAGAAAGCATGACCAGTCCAAAGGTATCGCATGTGAGGGCCAAAAGCCAGCGCACCTGCCGCCACGGCTGAGACTGCAACGAAGAACGCCACGAGGGCGATGGCACCCCGCCCACCAACCCGCCACATGTCGGTGTAGTTTGTATGTTATGCTAGATAATTTCCTCCTAAATACTCGGTAAAGACACGGACTTCAGAAGAAGTCTTCGGCTGGGGCCTATCCGGGTCAGTGCCCGTGCTGTCAGCCCTGGTGTACGGATACAATGATGTAAAAACTCTCAGTGATACAGATGCGCACCTGCAGCGCCCTTGGATGTGACCCCGTTGGCCGGGGTGCGAATCCTGCACCTGCATTCGTCACCTGGTGCCGCCCGCACCTACAGGAGCCGGGCTTCTCGTTTGCCGGGCACATTGCAGCGGCAGGGTGCACACCTCTACATTTTGGCGTCGCGGACAAGTGAACACAGCTTATCTTGCAAATTCAGATAAATATCTGGCCAAGAGGCAGCTGGCGCCGCGCTAATGCTGCTAATTGTGGACTGCCGACAGGTCGTTCCGCGCACTTCATGCTGCACGCGGCCCGCTGACTCACCCCGCACGCGTGATGCCGCAGCCCCATCTGCGAGGCCGCCTGGACAGAAAACGAGAAACGGGGCGGCTGCAACAGCCATGCAAGCCCAAATCGCAAGCTGGTGGCCGGCTGGGTCGAGCCCACGTGACATTTGATTATGCCAGCCTGGCTGGCGGCCGGAGCCCTGGCGGGCGCCAGGGGCGGTTGGCTCACGACGTCGTGCGCGGCACAGAGCACGTTTGCGCTGTCTGTGGCGCGTGCATCGCGCTGGTGGTGGGTAAAAAGCCACTACTGGATCACATGACACATGGACCGCGGAACCTCCTTGGGAAGGTGAGCGCGGTGTCAAGGGTTGACCAAGACATGTCAGGCGGTCAAGCACGAGTGCGTCGTCAAGAATGACAGCTGTCATGGCTGATGGTGCGTAGGCTGAGCCAGGTGCCGGCGCAATTCAAAGAAATAATGTCGTTTCTCAGTACACCAGATTGCTAACAATATGCATTGCGAATGGCACTCCGGCTGGCTTGTTTTGTGGAGCGCATGGTTGGAAAGGGCGATGGCAGCTGTGGGTGGAAGCTGCAAAATCCCCCAAGAAGTGGGACAGGCACCCACACCACCACTCAAAGCTCTACCAGGGCCGCATGACACACCCAAGCTGTGCACGACCAGTGTTGTCCAATTGCTCCCCACCCCTAGGACTGCACGGTGGCAGCTTGGGGCCACAGGAGACGATTTGCGTGATGCTGCGCCTCCAAAATTGACAGCCCTTTCAACATCAAAAGTGCCGCGCTGCTCTGGCGGCGTCCTTTTAACTTCGCTTAGCCCCGCCACCGCGTCCTGGCGCACTGTTGTACAAGGTTGAGAGCCCCGTAGTTGGGTGAGGGGGGGAGCTTCAATGATTCGATTGGTCCCACCCTGGCAGATTGACCCGCTCATGTACAATGGTTCCCGTGGTGATGTTTATGGTGATGGTGGTCGCTATAATGGTGCCATGCTGCCCGGGCTATGCAATCAGCACCCGTGGCATTGAACAAATTAACTCTGGACCGGGCTTGGCGGGCAGGGGGCGACTGCGCAAAGTGCAGCTGTACATCAGGGAAACTGCTGAAGGCCTGGTATTTCTTTAAGTCGGACTGCCAGTCACGGCACGTGGCAGCTATGCATCTGCTTACGAAGTTGATGGCGTAGGGGCAAAGGTGCAGCAGCATTTTCGATGTATGGTACAGTAGTCCAAGGTGACCGAAAGTGACGCGCCGTCCGGAGCGCTGTCAGCAAACCTGCACCAGACTCAGCTCACCATGATACGCTAGCCCACGCATAACTCTCAGCTTTAATCACAGTGTCGTGGCTTACTCTTAGTGCATCCAGGCACCCAGATCATAAGATCGCAGACGATGGTTTCAGAAAGGATAGAATCGGAACCCGTGCAAACCACTCCACGGGTGGAGGTGACTGTGGCCAACATCACGGCCGCAGATGCTGCCGCACTGCAGGCAGTGCTAGCACACTGGGCATGGCACCAGTTTGCGCAGGTGCAGCAGGCTGGCACGTGGGACAGGCGGCGCTGCGTGCTGGCCCTTGCTGCGTGCATGGCAAGCTCATGCAATTCACAATTGCCTCCAAGATAGGCTGCTCCAGCACCCATTGAGGCAAGGTACACACGCCCAACAGGGAGCGCGCAGCTGCTAGGCCCCCGCAAACCTTCGCGCCCTGCACTGCCGCGACAGCGCTGCGCACCCGCACACCACCCTCAAGCAGAAGGGCTGGCCTTACGGAGGCGCGCCGCTGGCCGGGCGCCTCGCCCTGGACGTGCCGGCCCTCCTGAGCAGCCGCAGAGACGACCCGAACACCGCCCTCGCCCGCGGCCGCGACGGCGGCGACGCCGCCCCGGGCGTGGCGGTGTGGACGGACACCCTCGCGCCGCTGCAGCAAGAGGGCGGCCAGGGCGCGGCGGCGGGCGCGGCGCAGGCTGCTGAGCACCTGGCATACGCGCAAGAGCTGGTGGGTGGGACTGCCGTCAGGTGCAAGTGGACCGCACCAGCACATTTGTTTTCCTGCCACGCGTGTATACGATACAGAGACCGCATGCGACTGGAAAGTTGAGTTGGCGCCGTGCTTTCAGTCGGCTCTCCACACAAGGCACACCAGTGTGCTCACGGCACCCCCGGCCGCCGCGGCGCTCGACTATTCTCTGCTGTGCGTTGCGGCGGCAGGCCGCGCCGCCGCCGCAGTATGTGCGTGCGCTTGACGAGTTGCTATGCCAGGCGCCCCCCGCCAGCGCGGCCCCGGGCGCAGCGGCGGTGGTGGACGAGGAGGACGGCGACCAGCAGCAGGCGTGGCTGCTGACCGTGCTCGGCGCGCTGGGCGGCGGCGGCGGTGCGGCGGCGCCAGACGCGGGCGCGGTCGCCGAGGCGCCAGAGTGCGCGCGGCCGTCGCCCAAGCGGCGGCGCCTCAGTGCGGCGCGCTGCTTCAACTGCGGCTCCTACAGTCACACCGCCGGCCAGTGCGCGCGCCCGCACGACGCGGCGCGCAGCGGCGCTGCGGCGGCGGAGATGCGGGCGGCGCGCGGGGCGCAGCAGGGGGGCCTCGCGGGGCCGGGGGCCCGCTATTTTGAGGCGTCGCCAGCAGAGCAGCTCGCGCGCGCGCACCCGCACGCGTCGCCCGGGTCGGTCAGCGCCAAGCTGGCGGCTGCCCTGGGTGAGTAATGCAGGCGTTGAGAGCTCCAGCTTTGGCTTCCGCGGGCCCTGGCGCCGGGGGCTCTTATCGCCCTGTGGTGTTGTGCCGCTCAGTTATCACAACCTATTGCAGCGGCGCTGGGCGTCGCCAGAGCGCTTGGCTGGTGCTGGGTGCTGTGCCACACCGCTTGATCAGCCGCAACAAACGTGTCAGACGCGCCCTCGACCCCCGCCTCCGCTCCCGCGCTCTCCACCCTCATCTCCGCCTCCTGCGCTGCGCCTCCCGTGACCCCCAGGCATGCCCGACCCCTCGGCGCCGCCCCCCTGGCTCAGTCGAATGGTGGTCCTCGGCGTGCCGCCCGCATACAGCGGCGTCCCCACGGCCACCGCAGGCCTGGATCCATCTGCCTTGCGGGATGTCTCCATATTTGAGGACGGCGGCACCGCAGATGGCATTGATGGGGCTGCCAGCAACGCAGAGGAGGACGGTGCCGTCAACGGGGCTAGTGGAGCTTTGAATGGGGAAGGGCAGCCGGAGCAGGTGCAGCAGGCGGCACAGGAGGGAGGTAACGGCCAACAGCAGCAGCAGCAGCAGCAGCAGCAGCAGCGGAAGCGGCGCGCGGCGCCTCGCACGAGCGCCGCGCGTGCCTCGTTCGCGGGCGTCAATGCGCCGTTCCCTGCAGGCGCTGACTCAGCGCGCTGGCAGGAGGCGCTGGTGGCTGCTTACGTCATGATGACTACGGAGGAGGCCCTGCAGCATCAGAAGCAGCTGCTCGCGGCGGCAGAGGCATACGACGAGACGGCGCGCGGGGGGCACAAGGCGGGGGCGGTCGAGGCGCAGCGGCTGGCCGTGGATCCTGCGGATCCGCAAGCACAGCAGCAGGGGGAGGCGCAGGAGCAGGGGCAGGAGCAGCAGCAGGGGGAGGAGCAGCAGGAGGCGGTTGGGCCTGGGGGCGTGAGGGCGGAGCCAGCAGGGGCGGTCGTGCGGGAAGGCACGGCCGCTGATGCAGATGTGTCTGGGGAGAGTGGACAGCCAGCCAGCGACACGGGGGGTCAGGCGGGGCCAGAGGCCTCACTCTCGCAAGTCGCCGTGCAGGCGGCAGAGGGACAGTCGGCTGAGGGGCAGCAGCAGCAGCAGCAGCAGCAGCAGCAACAGCAGCAGCAACAGCAGCAGCAACAGCAGCAGCAGCAGCAGCAGCAGCAGCAGCAGCAGCAGCAGCAGCAGCATTGAAGGCGTGGGGCTGGCGGGCGGGCGCACATGGAGGCAGAGCAGGCATTAGTGATTGCGCTCCAGCCGCTCGATTTTGCAATTGTAAGCTGCTACAGCCCCTGACACATCTCCACCGTACAAGTCTGCATTTTGTGCGACTGGATCGATTCTTGACTCTTGGCGCATGAGCACTTGACTGTACAGTATAGTTACATAGACATAATTGTTCGGAGATTGTTCGAGGGGCCGGCTTGGTGAGATGTGAGGGCGCTGTCACATTCGGAGACGATACCGCTGCGGACGTTGCGCAGAATTGTAGTGCCCTGCGGTGTCACTGTCGCGTGTGGCTGTGATGGTGTCCTAGCATGCTAGCATGCTGAGCATACGGGCCGTTGCATGCTTTGCCGCAAAGGCCAAATCCATAAAAAAACGCGAAGCAATGACACATCCTACCTCCACACACGACTGAGCCCATACCCCTGAATACGACGGCGAACAGGCGCAGCATCAGTGCCTGTGCATGTGCAAAGCAAACTCAGCTCGATCTGCAAAGGGAAACGAAAAACAAATGCTTGCATAGCCTGCACAGAGATATTGACGCACTTCTGCGGTATCCAGCTAACCTGCCTGCGGGTGCCCTCACTAGCACTAAAGATTCTCACCCCAAGATGGAGAAGGCTGCAGTCAAGTGATTGTCATGGCCCAGAAGTCATTCACAACAGTCCGAGTTGCATGTGCCTGCGGGGCCAAGCACGCGTTGGGTGGCGAAAACTCGCAGGTGATCCCCAGACACATGCTATGTCAGGGCTAGCTCCTGCTGAGCTGCACACTGCACCAGGCGGGGGTGGGGGTGGGTTGCACATCTGGACACAGGCACAGGGCACACCTCGCTGCCGCACATGCATCGTTTGAGACTCAATCGTACTGCAGTGCATGGGGCTTGTATGCGCTTGCATATCCTCTAATCACAGGCAATGATCACAGCAGTGATGTCAACATTTCTCTGATACTGAGATAATCAGATACTGCACACGTTATCTTCTCATGGACGCATACGTGTGGAAACAAGCACTGGCTTGATAGGTGACCATTGTGGATCTTGCGATTATCGTGATACACTGCCTGTTGCTCTTGGCCGCTTTCTACGGCCTCGATGTGCTTTGTTGCTAGAGCGGCGAGCAAGCCGGTCACTCCCTTCGGTCACATGTGCGGGCGCAGCCGTTGCCTGCTGCCTCTTGTCGCTTAGAAGCTGCAAGAATAAGGCCCGATTACGTACTCAACTGTTATCTACATGGTTCACATATGGGCCAAGGTGAGATTTTTACCAGATCTCCGGCAGGGCGTTGGCATCTGTTTGAAATGTGGGATACGCACGAGTTCCCCCGCAGACTTGATTTTCCACCTCTGGATTATTTTATATTTGATTTCAATCGCAGTCTAGTCGGCTGATTTCCCTCTCTGGTGTGCGATGATTCCTTGCACCGCGGTGCTCGATTTGGCTGGCCACGTCCATGGAGAGGCTTGTGGCCACCCTCTAGTTACTCATGGAGACCACAGCGACTTCCTGGCAAGCACCGCAGGGTCGCGTGCGATGTCCGCCCGTGCGGCCAGCACGCAGTGACAGCAGAGCGCTTGGGCCAGCGACGCAGCGCATCTTATCGCCAACCATGCAGGCACATCCCTTCACTGCACGCTCACGAAAATTCCGCCCTGCCATATATCGTAATATATGCACCCAGGTGGACGGCGAGCTGCACCACGTGACCAGCAGCTGCTGCAGCAGGCAGTGCGTCCAGGGCCCGGTGGTCATCAGTCATGGGTACACCTCGCCCCACCTCAGGCGCGCGTCCGGGGGGCGCAAACGCACCATGGCCCGCACCCATCCGTTTTGAGGGCTCTTGATGCCACTGCCTGCAGGCACCGCCCCTTCCCAAGCCTAGGCATCCCAGCCTCGCCGACGGCCCTCTGCCACACTCCCCCGCAGGCGCCCGCACTCGCTCTCGACGGCAGCCCTGCTGCCGCCCGCCGCGCCGCCGAGCGCCCCGCGGCCGCCGCCGCCGCCGCCGCGGCAGCTGCAGACTACCCAGATCTATGCGGCCGGCATCTGCTGCCCAATGGAGACGCCCCTCGTCCACAGCTGCTTGGACGGCATGCCTGGCGTGGAGCAGGTGAGGGGACCCCCACCCCCCTCCCCAGCTACCGCCACCGACGCAACAGCAGCAACAGCTGCGACGGCAGCAACAGCAACAACAGCAGCAACATCAGCAACATCAGCAACAGCAGCAACAACAGCGACCGCTGCCCCTGCACGCATGGTCGGACAAGCGTCTCGCAATGGGGAATAGCCAGCACACACAAGCGCCCTCATAGCCACCAGGAATGACAGCAGCCCGCCCGCCTGTTACGCTTTGCATCACACCCGCCGCAACCAGTAAATAGCAGGCTGGGCCACGGTTCCCGCCCCATCGCCATAGCCTCCCCCCCC